CTCCTTGTTATTAGAATCTGAGTATGAATGTGCTAATATCAGTTTATCTCAGGAGTGGATAGCTAACCAATAGACAATTCACTTTATTTCTATAACTTTATATCTTTTCTTACATCTTGGTTGTGAAAGATTGGTTGGCTAAGTTATGGTTTTGTTTGCCTGGCAATTTTTATTTTCTATTTTTAGAGATGGTAAAATTTTAGTCTTCTTATTTATTTTAATTTATTTATCTCTCTATCATCACAAGACTAGTCCCTGTTTATTCATTATGCCTGTTTTGTTTTTTGTTAATAACAAAAATATGAATTGTTAAAACAAAGTAATTCCTTGCAGAACATTTTAGTTTATATTCAAGTTTCAGGAATCAGTTATTAAATATTTTTCACTTTTATGTCACTTCATATAATTAGGAATTGTTGTTCTATTATTGGATGTTTAGACCATATGATAAGAACCAGAAAAATAGTATTAAGACAGAAAAAAATGAGGCCACAAAGTGCTCTTCAATTCTGAGAACATTTATTATAACACAATTTTTTTAACCTCAGGAAAATAAAATATGACCAATATTTCTGGATTATTTATATTCAATCTTTATAGTATCCCAAGCTGGAAATAAATGCATTTTTTCTTAAAGTATCAAAATTTCTTGGATCTCAATTTGAAGTAAACATAGCCTTAGTTAATTTGGACATATTAACTACTTTTTTTTAAAATTATTGTCTATGGAATACTGTCATAAATCGGGAACACAAAAATAAAAACTCTAAAAAAAATAGAAAAAACAAAATGGCTGAAGAACTTTCTCAAACTCAAGGTTTACATCAGGAATATTAAATATTTTAAAAGTGGAACATGTTCACTCAAACATGTAGAACAGGCTTACACAATTAAAAAATGTGAAGAGTTACATTGTTTGCAGAAAATTAGCTATGGGCTGCAAGAGTAAACTTTTAGAATAAATCACTGAGTGAAAAAAAATGATGCAGATGCACTAATGCATCCGAAAGAGACATGTTTAAAAACACAGATTGTGCATTGTTTCTTGGTAATAGTTAAGCAGGCATTGGCTGTTTCTTTTCCTTTTTTAAAGAAAGTTTTACATTTAGTTTTTGATACTTTGCTAACTGCATTTTTAGCTTTGACCACTGGTTATATAATATACTCCAATATTTAATATTTTTTAAATATTTATAATTCAACTATAGAGCAGTGTTTTAAAAGACAACTACTTTTTTAGACTTGTGTCCACATGATGACTAACATTAAAATATAAAATCTTATTTTCTCAATTTCCCTTCACACACACTTTTATCAAATGGAGGACAGGGAAATACCAGTTCTTTACATACCCCACACACTTATCTTGATTACTTATGTGGGTGTTTCAAAAGAGCTTCATCACATTGCTGCAGTGTTACAAATATGAATTTGATTCTAGTCTGAATGAAACCACTTAACAGGATTTTCCGTGTGAGATAGAATCAATATATATATATATATATATATATGAGAGAGGAGCAAGAATTTTTTTTATTTTTCTACTGACATTTAAAAGGATTAATTAGATAAAAAGACAGTGAAATATTGGTTAAATAAAGTCACAAAACTGCTCTGTCACTGAATTTATTCTGATGAATGTAAAAATATTCGCTATTTTTAAATCCCTTTGCAGGAGATGCTGAGTCATCTAGCAGGTTGTATTTTGTGCAATCCTGCTGTAGAGATTGAAGAAGACATAGGTTCATAAGCAGATTTATGTAATAATGACAGCAATGTATTTGAAATAGAGATGTAACTGAAAAATTCAGAGCCAATAATCTTTGATATTGGAAATTTATAAAATTGATTCCCCACAATAAACAACATTGATGATGCAATCAGACACAGTCCTGATAAACATCCTTCCCAGTATCTTGATAATATCCTACAATTTCCTGTCAGTCTACTGTTCAGTTAGCAAATTATAAGGGATTTTCTTGTATAAAGTAAATGTAGGCAATCATTGTTTTGGTTTCCATGTTGTTTATTTAGTAAACTACTGTTGACATCTCATTCCACTCTGGTCATTGTTCCAGGCTATTCTATTGACAAAAAAATAGAAAAAGTTACATGAGAAGTTTTCTGTGCATAAGAACGGTATAAGCCATAAAATGTGTTATATGGAATGGTAAAAATGGAAAAGAATATAAGATCAAAAAAATTGGTTGATCAAATGCTGTTTCAAACAATTTAAAAAAAAACAAATGTGTAGAAAAATTATTTATAGAATTATTGATTTTGTAGGGAGAAAGGCTTAGAATTTAGAAGAACAAGTTATCTTATTAGGAACAGTAATGGTAATTTTTTTGGCAGGGATGGGGTGGATTTTAGAGTTGATTAACCATTATGATCCAATTCTTGAAGAACATTTATACTAAGTGAAGGGTTCACGAATCATAAAAACAAGATTACAAGTATATTATGATTCTCCAGAAAACCAGAATGAGTTTTTATTTAATTTACTTATTAACCCATCAGCCATCAGGAAAAAAGGGCAAATAAACAGATGATAAAAGATATAACAAGGAACATTGGCAACATGCAGAAAATGGAAATAATTGAAACATTCAATTAGTAAAACATTTCTAACTGTAGAAGAGGTACATTGTACACAAGTACAGTTACCATCTGCCAATATATTCAAAATTTATTTTACTCTTTGAAGATGTCTAAAGTCTTAGCATTGGCTGCTGAAAGAAGGGGAGCATGCCACTCATTTACTACTCACTGCATATATTCAGACAATGAGTGGGACTTTCAAAAGATTGAATTTTTAATGAATGTCCTCTGGATAAGGGGCCTGGTGCCATAATTGCTCCAGTTGTGATGCCAGCCAAGCTGTCAATAGCTGTGACAAAATGGTTAGGTTATACATTTCTAATGACCCTAAAATTAAATATATATGATTTTTTTTTATTTTTTTATTTTTTTTTAAGCATTTCACCCCAAGCAAGGTGGGGAGCCACTAGGACGCAAGGGGTTACAGAAAATAGGAAGATCAGATAGGAGTGATAGAAGAAAGGATGAGGGTAGTAGATAGATTAAGGCAACTGGAGATGTCGATTGACATTACACTTGAATAGCTGGAGATTATAACTCTCAGGGAAACAGGAGAAGGGAAGAGAGTTCCACAGGCGAGAGGTGCGAGACATGAAGCTATTGAGTAGAAGAGACGGCTACATTTAGGAGTTTCGACAGTGAAGGGGTGAGAGCGGGATGCCAGCCTCGTAGGGCGCTTGAACTCATGAAGTTTGGGAACCAGCGAATGCAGTTCCTCGGAGCAATTTCCATGAAAGTATTTGTAGAACAGACAGAGGGAGGCGACGGTGCGTCTGTGAGAAAGTGACTGTAGACGAGACGCCAGGGCAGGGCCAACCATATTACATATCTGCTTCTGGAGCCTATCAAGAACCAGGAGGCAAACAGAAGGGCGCCCAGACCATATATGGCAGCAATACTCCATGCAAGGGCGAATTGTGGATTTGTATATCTGGAGGATCGACTCAGGGAGAAAAACTTCCTAGCGCGGCTCAGGGAGCCAATTTTCCTCGCAGTGGACGAGGCAATTGACTCTGATGTATTTATTCCATCTCAGGTCAGCAGTCAACGTGAGACCAAGAAGCCGCAGAGAGTTGCTCTCGGAAGTTGAGCGTCAGACATTATAATGGTGGGAAGGGAAGGCTTTCTGTGGTGATTAATAGAGAGCAGTTTTGTCTTTGAAGCGTTGAAGTTGACCAGCCAAATCATGCCCCAGTTCACAATCGATTGGAGGTCCTTTTCGAGGCGCACGGCAAGGTGAGTTTTGTCAGCGAGACTGGATTTGTTTTTGAGGCAGGAATAAATTGTGGTGTCATCCACGTAGATGCCAATTTTGAGAATTTATTGGCGTCAGGAAGGTCATTTATATAGATAAGGAATAGAGTGGGGCCTAGGATGGAATTTTGAGGAACACCTGCGTTCGTGGGATAGGAACTGGAGGAGAATCCGTTGAGAACGACCTTCAATTCACGGTTTGACAGGAATGATTGTATTACGTTATATAATTGACCAGTAATGCCATAACCCTGGATCTTGCGGAGAAGGCCAAGCGTGCCAAACCCTATCAAATGCTTTGAGATATCTTTTTTGCCACGCTCGGGCTTTAGTTGTTATTTTGGAGAGTTGGTAGACTGAAAAGTGATATTTGTGAGCACATCGGCTGTAGATCTGGCAAAGCGGAAACCATATTGCTTGTCTGAGAGCAGATTATTGGATGTGAGGTGGTTAACCACCCCGGTATTGATTAGAGCTTAAAAAAGATTTTGCCGAAGAGGGAAGGAGACTGATTTACCTCCTTAGTTGGAAGGGTCAGAGGGGTTTTCGGAGTTCTTGAAGACAGGAACCATCGAAGAGGACTTCCAGCAGTCAGGAAAACAAGATTCCTTGAGGCAGTAGTTGTATAGTTTAAAAAGGGCGGGCGCCAGTTCATTTTGCATTTCTTTAAGACAATGGCTGGTATCCCATCTCCACCACTCGCCTTGTTGGGATCTAAATTGGAGATAATGCCCAGTACCAAGGTTGGGGTTATGTTTAACCCACTCAATATGGCCTCAGTTCTAAGAGGGAAGTTGGGTATGGGTACACCAGAAGAGTCGAGCGTCGAGTTGGATGAAAATTTCCGAGCAAAGCATTCAGCCTTGTCGGTAGAGGAGGTCAAGACTTCGAACTGGTTAAAGGATTAAATGATGGCTACAAATAAAAATGATTTTAGACTATACAGAACACTTTCACTCCAGTTTTATAATTACTATTTTATAGTTTTGTAAATATTCCTTGCTAAATCATAAGTATTTGTTATATGCCAGAAAAGGTGGTATGTTGATAATCATTGTATGTACATTTACTTGTAAATATATATATGATATATTTTTGTATTTTTGCTATATGCATTATAATTTGCAATTATATATATTCTGCAGGTGCCATGTTAATGGCTATTTACCTAAATGATGTTAACGTAGCTGAAACAACCCACCTGACGAATGCAATGGTCTGTTCTGGTACTAAACTAGAATGGGACCAAATGTACAGTGGCACTCTGGTGGACAAACACAGTACTGGAGGAGTGGGAGATAAAATCAGTTTGGTTTTGACTCCTGCTTTGGCTGCCTGTGGCATGAAGGTAAACTTGTAAACTTTAAGATTCATATTGCCAAAATATTGTTTTGGATTTTTTTTCAGTATTTAAAAAATAAAAGATCAAAAAATTATAAATAAAAAAAAACTTGCAATGTATGCAGTTGAATATAAATAATTTTAGCTATTAGTAAGAGAGTTTTCTTGAATATTGAAAAACATATTTATTTATTTATTATTCTTTCAGGACATGAGTAATCATAGCTATTCCACAACTTTCTGTCTTTTGTTGCTCTAAATAACTGTTGATTATTTACTATCTCTCTTTGTCCCTGGGTTTACAGCCACATCACATTGAAACACTAGTTCCTGTACAATCACTAAAGTTAAACCACATCGACCCTGGTCAGTACCTAGATGGGTGACCATTTGGGAATACCAGGTGCTGTAAGCTTGGATGTGTAGGTGGTGAAATGGATAATGGCTCAGAATTGTTAATCAGAGAGCTGAGTTCCAATTCCTGTTGGGTTTGTTATATTCACTTAAATGCAAATATCCTTGGGAAAGGTATGGGTTGACCTCTTCTTCTCTCAGCTATGGGTTAATTAGTAAGACTTGTAACAATAAACCATTATTATCTCTAAAAAAACAAATTCTTCTAATCTACAAATATTTTCTGGTTTTAAATAACCTGCAAAGAGTTGATAAGTCATCAATAAATAAATCAATCACTCTTTGTCCCTGTTCAGTTGTCCATTCAAACAAACTAGTTAAATAGGTTACTGATTGTTTCCCACCCCATTTTACTTGCCAGTTGTCGCTTTCTGATTGCATAAGTTTCTTTGTAGTTCTTATTTTTCCTTAAAACTTCTCAGTTTCTCACATGTTCTGTCTATGATATTCTTTACATTTATGAGTAGAACCACATCTCTGTCACTTAAAGTCTCTGTTCATCTATGAGAAAATTGTCCAACATTCACTGCCATATAGAAGATTAGATATAACAATTTTGATTAATTTTACTATTTTTCTTTTTTTACTCATCCCCCCCCACCAAGCAAGGCAATGAAGTCACTAAGATGCAAGGAGTTAGTGACTGTTAGAGAATATGAGTAAAATAAAACTACTATTAAGGAGAGAGAGAACAATAAAAGAGCAAGAATTAAGAAGACAAAAGATAATGATTGACATTGCATTTAAATTTCTGAAGATCAAAGTTGATTGGAAAGCAAGGAGCAGGAAGAGAGTTCCACAAACAAAAAGTGCAATAGAAGCCAATTCAACTATAAAATGTTGAGACCTTCTGCCAGTCTAGTACTGCACTTAAATTCATAAAGTCTAGGTGCCATAGATGAAAGTTTGTTAGAACAATCACCACAAAAACATTTATAGAAAAAACACAGGGAAGCTATATTATGGTGTTGGAAAATGACTTAAGCCAAGATACCGGGTCAGAACCAATAACATTGCAGATTCTTATTTGGATTTCATCAAGATTTTATAAGTATATAGCAGGAGCATCAGACCATATGTGGAAGCAATATTCAAAGCAAAGATGAATGATGGGCTTATAAATATATAAGATAGATTCTGTCAAGAAAAATTGTTTAGCACAACACATTAAACCAATTTTCCAAGCTACAGACCTAGCAATTGATTCAATATAATCTTTCCACTTTGTTTCTATCACAATCCTCAGGTCTTTTTATATTCTGTTACTTAAGTAAACAAAAGAGATCAGAAATTAAAAAAATTAATCTCAATTTATGTGCCATTCTTTGGGCATAAATCATACACAGGATTCTAATAAGATTTTATATCTAACATATATATTTGTATGTATTTTTATTTATTCTTATTTCTGTGGATTTTTATTGTAACACTTGAGTTGTTTTACATTCTTCATCTGTTATGGTTGCATGGAAATAAAGAAATAATCTCTTTCTTTATCTTTGATCTGTGCTACTTAATTAATGGTTTTACTATGTAAATCGACGTGAGGATTGTAATAAAATGCCAACAATAAAGATGAAAAAGAAAAACTAATTTTGATTTGATTTTATTTTCCATTTTTATTTTTACTTATTACAATCCTCAGGTATTTTTATATTCTACAGAACAATATTGTTAGAAACAAAGAAGAGTACTGAACTGTTATGTAGTATCAGCCCCCTCCTATATGGTAGTGAATGCTGGACAATCTCTGCACAGATGATGAAGAGACTTGAAGCAACAGAAATGTAGGCCTGCAGAAAGATGCTGAGCATACCATGCATCAAACATGTGAACAACAACAAAGTTCTAGAAACAATAGTAACAAAAAGGACACTTATGCTTAACATCAAAAAGAGAGGGTTGAAATTTCTGGGGCACATAATAAAGAAAGAGTGCTTGGAAATTTTGATACTCACAGGGCAGATTGAAGGTAAGAGGTCCAGAAGAAAACAATGCACAACCTACTTGGTGAGCTTGAACAAACAGATGGCAGAGCAGGGTTCAGGAGAGATAGTAAAAAAAAAAACGTAAGTTATTAAGAGCCACAAGGGACAAGAAATTGTGAAGAGACATGATTGCCAACAGCCTGAAGGGAAATGACACATAGAAGAGTTTAAGTAAATAGCATGGATTAGAAATTTAAAAATAATATATCATATATATATATATATATATATATATATATATATATTTATATAAAATATATATTGAAGATACAAAATCTAATTACAGAAATAAGCGGGTAGCTTAATATTACAAGACATAAAAAAAAGTGAAACAACCAGTTTTGCTATCTCTTCAGGCCTCTATGGGAGATTTAATTGCAAATTAAAAACAACAGAAAAAATGTAATGAGAAGGAGAAGGAAAGGAAAAAAAATTGAACACAAGGAGCTAGAGACAAATAACATTGAGCCCCAACAAACATTCAAACTGTTTACACAGGGAATTTTTATGGACTTGATATAAATTGCCTCCAGCACCTTGAGATGAAATAATGAGTGCAACCAGGACAGAACAGTGAACCAATCAGCACTAAAATTAGCTGCACACCCTCTGTTATTTAAGAGGTGCTCATATATGGCAGAACCATAGGTAGTTGGGACATGTCCATTCAAAGATAAGGTGTGATTCCTGATGTTGGTGGGAATATGCTGTTTAATTCTCATGTCCAGACATTGAGTAGTTCTCCTTAGCACCGCAACTACAAATATATTTGTAAACAATAGAATTACTTTGATGGGGAGGGAGAGCATCCTTGCACCCAGAACAAAACATAGGCTGGGTTTGGAAAACTATATAAACCTCAGCCAAGAAAAACAATGCCGAACATTAGCTGAAATCTGCCTAATTATATTTTTACACACACTTAGATCCAATCCAGGGCAATCTAAGATAAACAGGGCACTTTTTAACTGTACAGAGTTTGACCTTGCTGAAAATCTTCTGGATGACCGAATGAACAGTATCAGAGGGATACCCTAAACCGCATAATGTTTCCTTCACAAAATTGATTTCATCATCCAAGAAAAACTCTGAGCATATCATTAATGCCCTATGAACTAGGTTTCTAATTATGTTTATCTTATGTTTTCTAGGACAAAAGGAATCCCAACATGTATATAACCCCACAAATGTTGGTTTCCTATAAACAGAGGTGAGAAAAGTTGTCAGTGTCCGATGTACGAGAACATCCAAGAAGGCTCGTTGAAAACTGGATTCCTTCTCGACCGTAAACCTCAGCGCTGGATGAATACCATTAAGAAAAGAGAGAAACTGATCAGCCTCAACTATATTAAATAAACAAAAAGTATTGTCAACATATCGACAATACAGTTGAGGACGAAGTACATTACTACAGATTCTCTCCTCATGAAAGCCAACAAAAATATTGGCAAGTGCCGGACCCAAAGGGGAGCCTATAGCAACACCGTCAATCTGTCAATACATAGTATTATTAAAACTGAATTCGACAGATGACGTGGCAAATTTCATCAAATCCACAAATACAGACTCAGGAATACTAGGTGGAGACAAAGAACTGTGATAAAGCAAATCACAGCAAATATTAATTGTTTCCAAAAGAGGGACACAAGTGAATAAAGAACAGACATCAAAGGAACACATGAACTTACCTGAAGAAGACAAATTTCGGATGTGGTCAACAAAGGAAAAAGAATCCTTTATACAAAATCCACTTAAGCGCTGCAACACTGGTTCCAAAAGTGGTGAGAGACATTTGGCTGCCTTGTGTTGGGCTGAACCAACCATTGACAGAATTGGTCTCAATGGTACCCCATCCTTGTGGATTTTTGGAAGCCCATACAGCCAGGGATGAATTGACCCAGACGGTCAAATTTCACTAGAAATTTATTGTGGAAGAACCCCAGTTTTTACCCACTTCAAGAGTAATTTCTGAAATTTTATTTCATTTGAGGCAGTTGCATCACATGTATCGGCAGATCCCAGCTTTATAAATTTGGAAGTATCTTCCAGAATCAAAGACATCTTAGCTACATAATCTGCCCGATCTAAAATAACACCACCAGCACCTTTATCTGGTCTGGAGATTACAAGATCAAAATTGTTCCTCAATGAATAAATAACACATTGATATTCTGCTTTCCACTTTGATTCCACTGAAGCAAGAGAGGAACAAGCAAACATGTGTGCAGAGTTATTTAATTGGGCTTTTAAATCAACAACAGCAAAAGTAGGTGAAACTCTTGCCAACTGAGCATAGAAGACCTCGAACTCAGAAAAAAATTTTCTACTTATCAGGCATAGAGGGTGGAATACAAAAATCCAACCCATGAGCAAGAACAAACAATTCAAGCTCAGTTAGTTCATGGGAAGACAAATTTACAATATTATTTAAATTCAGTTCCACTGTACTTCAATATCTCTTATGTACCATGTGTTTTTTCTTGGCTGAGGTCCGTATAGTTTTCCAAACCAGGCATATGTTTCGGTCTGGGTGTAAGGATGCTCTCCCTCCCCATCAAATTCTATTGATTACTTATATTTGTAGTTGAGGTGCTGACTACATAGGGAGAACTACTGGACATGAGAATTAAACAGCATATTCCCACCAACATCAGGAATCACACCTTATCTTTGAATGGACATGTCCCAACTACCTATGGTTCTGCCATATATGAGCACCTCTTAAATAACAGAGGGTGTGCAGCTAATTTTAGTGCTGATTGGTTCACTGTTCTGTCCTGGTTGCACTCATTATTTCATCTCAAGGTGCTGGAGGCAATTTATATCAGGTCCCGCAAGCCTTCCCTGTGTAAACAGTGTGAATGTTTGTTGGGGCTCACTGTTATTTGTCTCTAGCTCCTTGTGTTCAATTTTTTTTCCTTTCCCTTCTCCTTCTCATTACACATTTTCTGTTGTTTTTAATTTAAGTTAAATCTCCCATAGAGGCCTGAAGAGCGGGAGCGAAACTGGTTGTTTCGATTTTAACACGTTTGCAATATCAAGCTACACACTTTTATTTCTGCAATATATATATATATATATATGTAGAATGTGTATGTTTACAAATAAATATATATATATGCAATTTTTATATATATTATTTATATATATATGCACGGTACTTACTGGAAAGTGCTTGACATCAGTGATAGAGCTAACATATTTAGTTGGATTGATGTGAGTTTGTGACCTGGGTTCCACACTCCTTGCAATCATCAGACAATCACAAAGAGCGTGAAACCCAGGGTCACAAACTCACATCAATCCAACTATATATATTGTGAAAATATATAAACTTTTATAGAAAAAAAATTTATTTTGCCAGACAATTTTTTTTTCTTAAAGATATTTCTTTTTAAATAATAGTCATAAAAATGTATATAGGTGTTTGTTGTTTGATAAAAATCTTTTTATTTATATTTATGAAAAAAAAATTCCTCATCTGCAGATATGTTTCAAACAATCCCGGCAACTCTTCAAAATCAGCAATCAATTTTACACTCTAATATTATTATGAACAGGAAACCTTTCTAATCAATATTTTTCAATTTTTATCAGTGTCATGACCTAAAGGTCTAAAGAATGCTAATCCCCAAAAATTATTTCACTATTTTTTATGAGTGGACTATTCAATTTATGAGTGGACTAGTCTATTTAAGTATTAAACATATCCTTTCTATATGATTTCACTGGATTCTTATATCTAATATATATAATATGTATTTTTATATTAAATTCAGACTATTTTTTCTTTTTATTGCTTATTAGCAGTAGCGCCTGGCATTGCCTGGGGATGTAACAGTAAGAGATAGATCAAGTATCGACCATCATAAAGACTGAAAAATAAAATTGACAAAGATTATTGTTTAAGGTTGATGGACATGCATGTCTTAATTAGTTTTTTTTTTGTTTTTTTATGAATTGGTCAAACCCAAACTCAAACAAAAACATTGTTTTCAATCGTTATGAGTCTATCGATTGAATAGAATTTTATTATAAACAATTGTCTTGTAAATGGAATTTTTAAAGCATTCTGAATGTAAAAAAAATAAAAAAAAAAGTGTGCAAGACAATAAGAAACACTACCTGCCAAAAAAAAAAGTGAAGTTTTGTTGAAATCGGTTGAAAAATATAGGAAATCCGATCCCATATATAAAGGAACACACACACACACACACACACACAACACACACAAACAACCTGGGTTTTATAATAAGTATAACTCAATATGAGTTGTCCCCCTTTCATTCTGGTGAGTGATGCCTCTTAATCGTGTTTTCAAATTAATTTTGTGCAAAAACAATTGTGCTTTTCCAATTTTTGGTGCTGTCAGAACCACCACAAGGTAATTTTACGTAGTCCTGTGAAGTTTTGTTGAAATCGGTTGAAAAATGTAGGAAATCCGATCCAATATATAAACGTACAGACACACACGCACACAATCTGCATTTTATAATAAGTAAGATTATTGCAACACCTAGGTTGTATAGAAATACACTCATAGATTGGCAACTAGCTTTAAGCATTTTACTATTGAAATTGTTAGATTGTAATATGTTAATAGTTTCTTCTCTTACAATTCTCACTTGTGGAACTTTCTTCTGATTTTTTGTTGTTATATATTGTGTATGGTTGGAAGAATAACAAATGAAAAACTATAATGTATTACTGGTGTGGAAGAAAGAAAAGGAGATAAGATTTGTTAAAATAAAATTTTCTGTATTACTAATGTATACATTGGATCAAAGTAGAATGCCTCTTGTGGGCGAGTGAGTCTGATGATCAAAGATGAGGGAATTGAGTGTGTACTGGCTTCACATTGAAACTTGCGTCAGGTGGGTTGACTGAGAAGCCACTTTGAACTAACTTGAAGGCTGCCAAGTGGGTCCTTTTAAGCAGTCAGAATGGATTCAAGACTCAGCATTATTTATTGTCATGTTTTTGCTTTGGTAGCAATGTTCTTGACTGGCTCTGACATTTAAGTTTTACTTTATTTGTTTTGGATTTGTTTTGTGTTTAAAAACTCTGCCTCATATTCTGAAAGGACAGAGATCCTGAAGAGAGGACCTTCAGTGACTTTTAAATTATCTTATTTGAAAAATGATATAAATATATACATTGCAATATAAAGAACAATAATATATTGGTAATAAATAAGAAATATAGTTTATTTTGTTTTATATGTACATCAGCTTCAAGACATTTGTTTTGTTTTTTTGGTATTTTTTCAGATTCCTATGATGTCTGGTAGATCCCTTGAACATACTGGAGGCACATTAAACAAACTTGAATCCATTCCTGGTTTTAACACAGATCCAATGAAAATAGATTGCCAGAAGATGTTGAAGGATGTTGGTTGCTTTATTATAAGTCAGAGCAACAATTTGGCTCCTGCTGATAAAATTATTTATAAGGTCAGGGACCAGACAAACACAGTTTCAAACTTAGGTCTCATTACAGGTAAATAGTTTTCAGGATTCTTTAAAGTTTTAAAAGTACTTTAATAATTATCTCTGAGCAATGCTGATACTCTTAAAATCAGTTTTCCTTCTTTGAATAAAATATTTATGCAATTGTCTTTTTTTAATTCTCTGAAATAATATCACAATTCTTTAATTACTTCAGGTTCTATCATATCCAAGAAGGCAGTTGAAGGTATCAATGGACTTATTTTAGATGTCAAGTTTGGAAAAGCAGCTTTTATGGATACAGAAGACAAAGCCAAAAAACTTGCCAAACTGATGGTAAACAAAACATTTGTACAAATTGTATTGTAATTCTTTAAATATCAAGATTTCATAAAATTAAGTAACACCTTCTCTATTTACACTATTTACATATGTTACAATGTTTCGGCTGTTGTACACTTCAGCATTCTTCAGGTTCTATACATTGGAATTTTGAACTGAACCCTTTATTTCATCCCAGTGGATAAAAGTGTTGGTTGAAGTAATCCAGTGACTTTTTTTTTTTTTTTTTTTTTGTAGCTGTATTAAGTTACAGTAGCACTGTCTGTCTAACTCTCTGCATTAGCAGGAGGAAGTTCATTTAAGCTTTTGCAAAAGGGCAAGGTTTTGTTCAATTTAAAGGTTGAAACAGTTCTCGAACCCACCTAGGCAGATTCGAAGGCTATATTTTTGGCCGGGCATACAGGCTCGGATGACCCACAATAAATTCGGCCTTGTGCCACATTCAATCCCACGTGGGGGAATAGCTAAATATTGTAATCCAGTGACTTGATTTGTTTTTTTATGCTTTATCAACTCCTAGTGGATTTATTTATTAATGTGGCCAAACTCAGTATAATCTACAGTTGCACAGCAGTACTTCAAGGTGAAGCAAGGCCTAGCTTTCCAAGAAGTGAGTTTGACCTGACCTTGTCTTCAGCAGACATGCAACACATCCAGCATATCATGGCCCTGTCATTCCACCAAAGGCAGTTGAAGTTCACTATCTGCAGAGCCCATGTCTCATGGTCATGCAGTATGGCACTATGAACACTGCGATTATAATATACTAATCACTTTTCAAACAACAATTAATAGATTGAGTACCCAAAGACATTAATTTAGGGCTTCATTACCTTAACTGTTAAACACCAAATGAAAATAATTACATAATGATTCATACCTTGTACATCAACATGCATATGTGATTTTTTTTAATTATATTTAGACTAGTCACAGCAGTGAACAGATTTTTCTCAGTACACTGCTTTGACACATAAATACTTTCTACTAAAGTTCTTTAATCTTTAGGGATTTGGGGCCTATCAGTCAGTTATGCACCATGCGTGATAAATGCTTAGGCGATCATGTACCTTTCGATACATGACTGACGATGCTATAGAACCCGATCTGTCTTGCTATTTACCCATAGCTAGAGGGAGAAGAGGATTCATACCATTCCCAAGGGTATTAGCATATAAGTGAATGTAATAGAATTTGAACTCTGCTCTCTGATTCCTCAATCTGAGCCACTATCTATTACTCCACCATGCCTCCTTTTTTTGGGCCTATACAAGTCTGTAATAAAAAATGACTGATACTGCACATGTTAACACAAACAACTTTTCAGAATATTGATCTTTTTGTTGTTTATTATCACAGTGGTTTGGCCTGTTCATTCCTTGGCCTTCCTGAAGTCTAAAATCTCTACCTGTAAAATAAAAGCAGAAATCTTCCTTACAATTTTGTGCAATCGGGAATGGCTTAAGAATGGATCAGCCAAAACATTGTGGTAACAATAAAAACAAAAGAATGAAAATCTGATCAACTCTTAAAATAATAATGACTCCCCTCAAAGTTACAGAATATGCCAATTAAGCTAGGTAGCTCATAATTCTACATTATAATAATAAAAGCAACTTTGTTTTTCTCCTTGAACTATCCAGAAGTCATTCACGAAGAAAAGGTTTTGTATTTTGAACCTGATACATATACTTTTTATTATTTGAACAGGTTAAGACAAGCCAAGGTTTAGGCATAAAGACAAAAGCACTACTGACTAAAATGGACAATCCTCTTGGAATGATGGCATCCAATGGAATTTTGGAAATTATAGAATCAATTCAGTGCCTGAAAGGCCAAGGTCCAAAAGATATCATGGAAATTGTGACTCATTTAGGTAATTTGATTTTATAGTTCATTCCAAATTTGACTCCTTTCAAAACTATTATGTTAGCCCACAATGTCAAAGGTAAATGTTGGGCAAAGTTTAATATTCATATCCACAAAAAAAAAACAAGAACCCAACATTTAGCCTGGCTATTAAGTCCATCCAATGTAACTTCATATTCATTACAAATGTTACTATTGAAAAACTATTGAAAATGTTTTTATATTTGGATTTCATTCATGATGGTCAAAAACCGTCCTTTTGAATTCCGTTTTTCAAAATGAAGTTTTTCAAAAATATTTGGATTTGTAGTCATTTATTGGTTAGATCATATAAATAAATTTTTTATTTTATTTAAAACATCCAGCAGTCACCAATACTGGATTTTTTGCCTAATGAGAATAGTCAATTGGCCCAAAATTTTACTCTTTTAATTTTGAAAGCAATGATTTCATTAGTTTGTTAAAATTTCATTCATTTAAAAAATTTGATTTGTGAAAAGAGTTTTTCTTTGAAATTTACCTATACAGTTTTTCCATATTCTTTAATTGTTTAGATGAAATTGCTGAAAATTGCATTTTTATTTGAATTTTTTTGACAAATTATTTACATTTAAATTTTTTTATAATTCAAACATTTCTTATATTTTTTTTTTTTTTTTAGAACAATATTTAATAATTAAATCTAACATTGTCGGAGTTAACTCCTCCTTTAGTCCGTTAACCCTTTTGGGGGTCACAGCTGCTATAAATGCCGCTGACCCTTCGCCTCTTCTTTTTTTTCCTTCAGGCCTGTGCAGTGACACCTTGAGGTAAAACTCTCTTTTCCTTTCTTTTATCAACCTTGAAATGTAGTGCTAACAAGGGATAGCGTGAAACACAAAAATATACACACATCCACGCACACATGCACAGCAGAATATACACACAGCACGCACATACAGAATATTCACACACTTTGTCCTTTTGTACTGTTTCCATGTATTGTAACTTGTTATTAATATATATTTGTATATACATATATTATCGGTCTTTGTTTTGTTTGTAATTTTACCATACTTAATTATTTTTGTTGTTGTTTTGAAAAAATTTGAAAAACCACATCAGTTTTTGAATATTTTTCCAAAAATAAGTTTTTAATTGTTAATCTTTCCATGGTTGAAATTGTGCAAAAAAAAAGAAAAACCATTTTCAATAGAACAAGAACAATTTACTATTCAAGGGGAACCTGAAAGAAAAAATAAAATTAACCCTTAGAAAACGTTATAAAAATCAGAAAATTAGACGCTTAAACACAAGGCCATTTTTTACATTTCAAATTGGTATTGAAGTTATTATTCAAATTGGTTGAAGTTTATATATAAAAATTTCAAATACATCACTGTTCCTGGACATGAATTTCTATATGCCATGACTTGAACACTTGAAAAAAAATTAAATTCTAAACTTTCAAAGGATTTATTCTTCTGCATTATTGTTCAATTTTCGGAGTTAAATTTTCATTTCAACGTATTTACATTCCTGACAATACAAGTCCGTTAATGTAATTAAAATTCTGAAATTGTTTTTTTTCAGAAGAACAAGATTTAACAATCTTCTTTTTCATGATAAGTTTTGGCTATAAAAAATGTTACAGCCGTTGATTTTGGTACAGAACTTCAAACTCCTTATCTGTTTAATTTTTTTTCCTTCAGGCCTGCCGATAATGCAGTGACACCTTTTTTCCTTCAGTTTATGTAACCATGAGGTAAACTCTCTTATTCCTAGAGGATTTTCAGCTATCAACCTCGAAATGTAGAATATAACAAGGGATAATTGGAAACACGCTGAGCACAATATACATACACGCATTTAACACACAGAATATTCACACACGTAATAAAATTAACGCACGTACAAATATTCACACACACTTCGTCCTTTTGTACTGTTTCCATGTATTGTAACTTGTTATTAATATATATTTGTATATACATATATTATCGGTTTTGTTTTGTTTAATTTTTCTTTACCTTCTACTTGATTATTTCTCTTGTTGTTGTCTTTGTTACATTTGATATTGTAAAAATTGTAGAGGGTCGGTTTTTATTTCTATTTATAACCAATACAAATTGGCTGACCCACTAATAAATCTTTGTATAATACAAAGATTTATTTTGTATTCATCAACACTGAGTATTTTCTTTTAATCATTACACAAGGACCTATACCAATATGTGGTGGGAACAGATGTTGTCTTAAGATAACAAACTCATTCATAACTGATAACCCCCTAATCCCCATAGATTACTTATGAAATCCTTGAAGACAAACATTAAATACAAAACTGAAAGCTACATTAAAAACTAGCAGGGTTACCTGGTGTTGCTCGGAAGATCTCTGAATAATAGTTTATTGACAATTTATTGGTATTTTTCAGCCATCCGATGGAAAATAATTTTTTATTCAATCTTTACAAAATAAACTTAATTTTTATTTTGGTTTGTTACAAAATAACTAAATTTAAGAAAATACTACACTACAAACACCATGCTTAGGGGGGCTTAGTATTCTATATTTTTATTCAAAAAGACACTTTATTTTTTGATTTAAATATTAACATAAACACTCTGTTAATGTTGTTTTCAAACAAATCAAACAGATAAAAGTTAATTAACCTTTTTCCAAATTATTATTAATAAAAAAAATAAATAAACTTAAATTAAGATATATTTAAACATTTAATTTAATCATTTTTTTTTTTTTTTCAAGCAAAATCTAAAGCAAGCCTTACTTCCTCAAAAAATAATTATTTACTATTTATTTTAAAGGGGAATTTAGATTTTTTAAATAAAGTCTTACTTTTAAACATTAATTACTATTTTGAAAGAGAGTAGAAGCAAGTTACATTGAGAATTTAGTTTTGAAAAGTGATTATGTTTAAATTTCAAGTTATATTTGTATTTGAAAAGAAAAAGAACTTTAGTTAAATAAAAATTAGCAGAGATAGACATGAATACATTTTACAAATATAACTATATTTTATTTAAATTAATTTTCAAAAATTAAGGCTCACTATAGTTTTTTGCTTTAATAAAACTTAATTTAAAATTATTTACTCTTTTATGTTAGCTACAAATCAAAAAAACAATGAAGTTTATCTTTTAAAGATTGAATAAAAAAAATTATTTTCCACAAGATGGCCGAAAAATATTAATAAGTCAATAATACACACACATACACACTGACAGCTCTCCTTTAGGGTAATGCTGAGTCTATATATTTATTTTGTAGCCCCCCACACACACACACGCACGCACAAATATTTGAATAAATAAATATAAAACTTTTTGTCAAATAATTGTATTGAATATTCTTCTTTTAAATTTACTTTGTTGTTTTAATATTCATTTTTTTTTAAGTTATGCTTTTATTTACTATAGATGTGAAAATAAACTCAAGAGAATAGAAATTTTAAAAATACATACATGTATAATGTTTCAAAAGTATCAACAGAATAAAAAAGTAAAAACAAACAGTAATCATAACCAAGAATAAGAATTATTACCATTCATATTCACTTTTTAATTCTGAGAATTTTGAATGCATTCTAATGCATTTAATTTTAAAATATTTTTGTAAATACAAATCATACAAAGATAATTTTTTAACAAAAAGCCGGCTTGGGTGATAATGCATCTGTATATATATTTACTTTGTCATGAATTACTGTACTTCTTTAGTTTTAGCCAGACACACACTCACACATACAGACCACTTCCCTCTATATATGGTTAGATGAACCTAATGTACATGTAACTTCTTTAAAATTAATGTGTTTTGAAGGAGTAAAGTAAGTTAAAAACTGAGCATCTCTAATGGAGGTACAAAGGTGTAAATTAAAGATTTAATTACTATTTTTATTTACACTAATAATTTTTACTTTGTTCTTTAATAAGTTGCATTTATTTTCTCTGATGTACAGGAGGCCATTTATTGCTAATGATGGGTAAGGTTGGAAATCTAGAAGAAGGTCTACAAAAGATTGAGAATGCTACCAAAGATGGTTCAGCTCTTGACCGGTTCCAGCAAATGATAGTTGGACAAAATGTTGACCCAGCAATAGCAGAGAAATTGTGCAAAGGGCAGGACACCTGGGAGATATTCAGAGAAGCTAATCGAACTGCCAAACATATAACTGAATTTTATTCCAAGCAAGATGGTAAGTGAATAATAATTCATACAAATATGAGAGTTGAACAAGTAACAAAATTTTATTTCAAATTGTCTGGTTTAAACAAGTCACAAGATTGCTTTATTCCAAATCATTTGACCACTTCCAACCTGTAGGTTGCAGTGCTCCAGACATCCTGTGTGAGTCACAAATCTGCACCTGGTTGCTAGAAGGTTACCTTATAGGTCAACCTGCTGATGTACTTGACTTCTTTGATGCTCTGGTGTAACACTAAATAGAAAATCTATTTTGGTATCATCTGGAGGAAGCATAGTACATAGTGGGGTCATCATAGATCAATGTCCCTTAGAAGAAAAGTTCCTTATTGACATTAAATTTGATTCAAACCATTTGGTATTTCCTGGTTTTAATCACATACTAAATCACATTCTCCAGTTAAATTCCATTTCAGCCCCTGATGACATATTCATAATTGATCATACAATTCACAATATGCTGACTTCATGCTATTGAATTTGAGAAATGTATCCTTTAATTACACCAGCCATGACCCACTTTCATTAAGATACATTACCGAATATATTATTTTGTGTAAAATGTGAAAATGTTTTAAAAAAAGTTTTGTAAATGAAACTGCTGTAAATGAAATGAAAAATGGTTATGCCATGATTCTATAAACCAAATCATTTAATCTTACAAACTTGGCTTCTGTAAAAGAAAGAGTTATAGAAATAAACTTATTTCTTCAGTGTAAATCAATAACTGATTATCATTCCACATGTAATGCTGATACATGAAATGTCTACATTGGTATGCTCTGCACTATTATTAGTAATTATTGAATATTATTGTTTTGTCTTGAGTAAATATGTAGAACTGAATTGATATTGTTCCTGGTTAGTGTTTTCCCCATAATTAGGTACTTAAATTGATTTGAATTAATGAGATAAACAAGTATTGCTCCTTTGATCAAATGCATAAGTTTTTTTCAGGATTTGTCAAGTCTATTGATGCTTTAAATTGTGCTAAAATTATGGGCGAACTTGGTGCCTTCAATGTCCAAATTCCTGAAGACTATGGAATTGGTATGCAATTTTGTGTGTCTGTTGGAGACTCTGTTACCACAGGTAGGATATGATCATTATCTCATATTTTAAATGTTGATCTGATAAAAGACAATTACAATAAGTTCTTTATATAATCTCCATATTTAGAAAACATAATGTGTGAGACATATATATATATTTTATGTGTAACAATTTTTATATTGACCATCTCTGTCTCTTCTGGTGAAATAATAGAAATAGAAATTTATCTCATGTTGTACTTCGTAAATAAATTACATAATTATTTAAGTAGTGAATATGATGTTATTTGTTTAGTTTAATATTTAGAAAGTACTAAACATAAGTAAACAAAGTAATGCAGAGCAACATAAAAGATTTAATATTCTATAAGTACAATTATATATAATATATTATATTCTATAAGCAATTATAAAATTACTTAAATATCACTTCTCTTTTTTCTGTCAGCAGGGGTAAACTAGTATGCATTTGTGTGTGCAACAAGCAAACATTACACACACATATATATATGTGTGTGCATGTGTGAGATGTATTTCCTGTAACGTATTTTGTCCTTTATGACTTCATCAGACTAAAATGATATTTATGTTAATGTGACTAAACATGTTTATGAAGGAGAGTGGACACTGAGAATTTTAAATATGAATTAAAAATTTTTTTTTTTAAATATATTTTTTGGGTATGTAGTTTAGCTGATTTCATTTATCTTCTTTTTCTTGTTCATGTTACCATCATTTTTGTTATCAAATATCTCACATAGTCACAAAAAAGAAAAATAATTTTAAATTTAAATTTCCCATCGTCCCATCTCCTTCATGCACATGTGTAGTCACATCAACATAAACTTCACTTTAGTCCAATGAAGTCCTAAAGGATGAAATGTGTCAAACAAAAATGTTTTTCTCTTTGTCGGCTTTCTTCCCTAAAATAGTTCTTGATATATGAAAATTTACATATCGTTTTACCACATACCATATTTTTTTGGAATATAAAATGCACCAGTGTATAAGATGCATCCTTATTTTGAAGACAGTTTTGCAGGGTATCCAATGAAAATTGAAATATTGATTATATGATTACAAAATTAAATGCATTAAGCACTCTGATTGGTGATGTGTATTTTTCTTTTGAAATCCATTCTAGTGAACTAAACTATGCATTCATATATATATATATATATATATATATATATATATTTTTTTTTTTTTTTTCTTGTGTAAATAACCAAAATCAATTTCAAATGATGATTTTCGTAGTTTCTAAAGATGCAATCCCAAATGTTGAATTCTAAAAAGATCAAAATCCCCCAAACTATAATCCTGAGACATTAAAATCTTGTACACCTGAAATTACCAGAGAAATAAAAAAGGGTAACTAAAAGGTGTAAAAAGCTGAATCAGTAATTAATACTCTAGTTATTTATGCATTTAGTTAGGTGTAGTAGTTAATCATTGAAAAATAGCTTTGATCAAGCAAAGCCTGAGTGTCTTGGCAAAGTTCATCCTTCTTTGAACATTATGGACTTGTGCTACAGAATCACAAACAGAGAACTGTACCAAATAACAGAAAACACATCACTTGATGACTACCAACAGAAGCAACAGCTAAAATGGATAGCACATGTAACTTGAGAAAATAATGGCATAATCAAGATGTTGATATTCCACACTACTTCAAATAAAAGGTTAGGAAGGAAATCCCCATCACTACTGGAAAGAGCAATAACAGCTACTGAACTTCAGAAACCTATTTTCCTGAAAAATCATTTTAAGAGAAAGATTTTATAAATTTTAACTAAAAATAGTACTGGTGTTGTGAGAATCACCACTTTTATTGACAGGTGTGGATGTTTTCCAGCAAATACTTAATGGCTCCTGGAACAATATTTGGCAGACTTGTGGGAGAATGAAAATAAACTAATAAATAAAATAATGATAAAAAAATAAAGAATTTATTTTTGCTATAATGCAAAAGGAAATCAAAAAATGGTTTCTGATCATGTGTGAATTTTATGATTCCACTTCCGTAAAGGAGATGATTGTTCTGTTCTCACTTTCCAACCATTTAGTTTCTACGTGTTTAGTAGCAATCCCAACGAAAGGGAAATTCAGTCACCCTCACTTACTTGAGGTTGACTTTTCTCTATACCACCGCATCTTGTACCTACATGTGTCAATAAACATTGACCAGTCATTTTCTAATCAAGTCTTTGTTTTGTTTATTGCGGTCCACCAAAATTCAACTTCTGTTAGCAGCACAAAATCAGTACTACCCTCCACAGAATCATGTAAGTCCGGGTAAAAATAAAAAAAGATAAACATGAATTTTAAACAAACAATTAACACATGTATTAAAAAAAAGAAAATTATACTGTGTACACAGCTAAAAGTAAAGGAAAGAATATTAAAAATTTAGCTATTAAGAATGTGCCTATTTGTGTGTAAGAGTTCAGGCATCAGATGACTGGGGAAACAAATGCATTCCAGTAGAAACATTCTCAACTATGAGCTGCTACATCTTGGAGAAAGCGGAAGGAGATGTTTGTCTTTTCATAGAACTTAAACAGCACCACCTAATGGGCATTTGGCAAAGCCAAGTGGGGTAATCCACACTGGTTACTTGGTCAATGAATGCCAAATGTTTTCTTGCAGAGAAATGGCTAATATTGTCATTAGCATAATCTCTTCTTGGATATTGGATTTTCTTTTTACAATTTTTTTTTTAAGTAAATTTATTTCTGTTTCTTAAATATGAATTTAAAATTGTAAATAAATGAATTTATGAACATTTTTTTTTCATTATTATTTTCCTGAATTCTTAAGAGATTGCTCTTTTTAGATTGTTTTTCAGGATTACAATCTTCAGATATTCTGATCTTTTGTGATTTTAATATTCAGTATTTGTTGTATTCAAGAGTGTACCTTGAGATCCGAATCCTGTCATAAGAATGAAATTGCCATTATAAATGTCTTATGTAAAATAAATGTTTAACACAAATAGTTAAATAGTTCTGAAGATAATTTTAAGTTTGACAGCATTAAAAAGCCTTGTTAATTACTTGCATTTTTTTTATTTATTTGTAGGTCAGTGTTGGCTTAAGGTTCACCACAATGATAATGATCCAAAATTAGTCCAGTATAAACAGAGGATCGAGGATTGCTTGGACTTTAGCACCCAACCATTACTCAAGGAAGAGATTCAATATGTGAAATGTGAAATTAATTAAAGCTACTCCAAACAAAGCTATAATCAAAAAATGTTTATAAGAAAAATATCAAAATATTTTTTCAAAACTAAAAGACTAGAAAGTTTTTTGCATTTTGAAAGAAAAATTTTGTTACATTTTTGAGGAAAAATAACAGAATATTTTTGTATTTTTATTATTTTGTAATTTGCTTGCTTTTCTAAAAAATAAACATGCTAAATTAATGAATTATTATGTCTCATTATTTGGACCAATATGATCATCTTGATTATGATCACGTCTTGGCCATTATACCTTTCAACCTTTTTCAAGTGTCTTTTGTTGTATTTGGTGACCTTCTCAGAATTTTGAGCTGAACCTTTTATTCAATTTACAGTGTTGATCTCATTTCACTTTCCATACTTAGAGGATATTCATATCAGTAAACTGATATAACAAATTGTGGTTATCAATGAAGTATCTGTGTACTCAGTCTAATGTGATATTTTCAAAAAAATGCTGGGTCAGTGGATCTATCACTTCCCTGGTTACTCTCAGGTCAGATGTTCAAATTAGGAGAACATTTTTTATTTCATATATCTGTTTTACTTTATTTCTGCTTATGAGCACATCACACTGAAACACAGATTCCTGTATGATCATTTGTTTAAGCAATGTTAAGCATGGTCAGCACCTAGATGAGTAACTGCTTTGGAATACCAGGTGCTGTAAGCTTGGATGCACAGGTAGTGTAATAGATAATTATATTCACTTACATGCAAATACCCTTGAGAAAAGTATAAATCCACCTCTTCTCCCCCAGCTATGGGTTAATGAATAAAACTTGTATCACTAAAGCATTATCTCCCCACAAAATTCTTACAATCTAAAAATATTTTCTGGCTTTAAATAACTTGCAAACTCTTGTCCATTAAAGTAATTCAATTGTTGTTGTTGGAAGTCACCATTTATAGTAGACATCATCAACTAAAGACAAAAACATTTATAAAAGATAAGCTTTGAACAAATTGCTATGATATTACTATATGCAATTTATTGACATTATTTATACAATAAGGTTCTGTATGTTAAGGATATGTTGATTTTTTTTTGTGAAGGTTTTGTAGAAGAAAATGTTTATCTTTGAAATGTATAATTTATGTGCACTTCTTCTATACACTGTCTCTCTTCAGGATGTTGGCGGTCATGATTCTCCACAACTTCCTGTCCTTTGTAGCACTTAATAATTTTTATCTTTTGGTTATCTCTCCTAAACCCTGTTATACCATTCATTCACTCAAATTTGCCAGGTAGGTTATTTGTTGCTTCATTCTATCCCTATTATCTTATATCTGAGTATGAAATTTTCCAAGCCCTCTTTCCTCTTTATGTAACCACCTCCTCCTCGCATTGGTTTTCAGGTTCCTTCAGAACACTGTGGTTACCATCTAGCTGACTCCTCACTCATTAACATGTTGCTGATTTGTTGCTGGTATTGTGCTGATGTTCCACTTGATCTAGAATCTAGATGGCATTTGTCTCCTTCACAATCCTTCACTCCTCTGCCATATTGTATTTTTGATCTCAGAGAGTGAGAAGATCACTGATGAAGTAAACAGAAGTGAAGAACAGGTCAACACCAAGGAGCTATGTAAAAAAGAATTCTTTGGAATAAAGAATTAACTTGGGTTAAAAATGTAACAAGGATTTGGTTTATATATGTTTTGTTGTATATAGCAGTTTTAACCATTCCCACTGTTATAATCAAATGACACTGAGATCCCCTTTTGGAGTTTACAGGCTGTGTTAGTAGATTTAAATTTCTAAGTTTTGGTCTTCATGGCCAGCACAAGGTCTTAATCAGGAGGTTTCGGCAAACAATATGGATGCCAGTAGCAGTAATGTGGGTCAACCAGGGTCTGGGGTTCAGTTATCTCATACTCTTAGCTTCAACCTTTTTCTAAAATCCCATATTTTCAAAATATGATTTCTCAAGTAATTTTCCAAATTTAGGGGTTGTCTAGCTCCCTTTTGAGAGTAGTCAGAGAAATCAAGCCATCCCTTAACTCCAATTCCACTCACTTCTCATCTCACACCATTGTTCCTTATAGGTTGTGCTAATCTCTCTCTTCCTTCTCCCTCCTTCTTAGCATCCAACCTCAGACCACTTCAAGGTCTCTTACAACTCTCTTTGTGATGAATGTAAACTTTTAGAATGCATAAGCAAAAGGGGATTTCCAGTAATTAATCTTTCTTTATCAGCTTGTCTCACCCTGGTTGTTTTAGGTCATTTCTCCACGCCAGAGACTGGACCATATGTAAGATAATCAGAGCCAATCTCAAGAATTGTTCCCAAGATCTTTGGTAATAAAAACTATCTTTTTCTGTTTGTGTTTTTCAATCAACCAGGCCACACAGCCAGTCAGTTATGCTTATTCCAAAATAATGTTGGCCATAAAAATTTTGATGAACATCACAGAAATTAAAATGAATAAACCCATTCCCAATCTTAGATGCTAATCTTCATTTTTGGAAAGATATTTTTCATCTGGGTGGCTGATTCAAATGAGATGTTTTTCCTGGCTCTTTGTCCAAAACAGTTTTGAATGTTATTTCAGTGACCACCCATTTTCTTTATTAACAAAATGTTTTTCATTTTCCAGGACCGACATCTTCATTGATACATTAATTGCCTCTTTCTTATTAGTGGGAAGTGAGAAAAGACTGGTAGTCTTGGATTTGCTCAATCATACTGAATTCCATCTATTTAAATTTAGGTTCAATTCTCCTTGGAACTGTTTGTGATTTCATTTTATTATTTTCAAACAATTTTTTCAACACATTTTGTTTTTATTTTTTATTTTTTTTCAGCTTTTCAATCCATTTTCCTGTGAATTTCAAAAATTATCATCTCGTTAGTAGTGTCTTCTTCTTTTTCTTTCTTTCTTTCTTTTTGTTTTTTGTTTAACTCCTTGAGGTCCCAATTATGTACCCTAAAAATTTCAACTATCTCTTCCTGATGTTAAGTATAAGTTTCTTTTTTGTTTCCAGTATCTCCAGAACTTTGTTGCTGACATATTACATGTAGTTTTTTTTAATATCAAATTTAGAGTTTGAACAGGAGTAGAGGCTTATCCCTTGTTTCCTGATTAAGATTGAGTTTTACTTAATATCTAAATTTTACTTCATTTTTATACTTCTAATATCTCTGTCTAAATGCTGAAATTTATACTATTATTGGTTTTCCAATTTCTTCTCTTTTACTTCCAGTAGCCACTTGCATTTTAGTGGTGTTATTGCTTTGCTATGAGTGAATTGATTTTTAAATAAAAAAGGGTGGGTGCTATAGTTACTCCACATTTTTTAATCAAATTGCATAAAAATATATTCCAGAAACCTTATTCCCAATAACCAAAGTTTAAAATGAAACTTGATTTTTACTATTGGTTAAGTATATCTTTCTTTTAGGTCCAGTTAGTGATCATCCCACCTAAAAAGCTGCATATTCTCAGTGATCCTCTTTTTATTGATATAAATTAGAGAATTGTATCTATGGGGTTTAGCAGAAATTGAAATCTGCATGTCACATTTCCATGTCCCAAAATAGACATTGTTAGGCTAGTACAGAGCCAATGAGAATCGCTGACATGAGAGTAGAACAAGAAGCATTTTATTTTCTTCCCCCTTTTCTTCTCTGATGTTGTGCTCCCCAAATATAGACTTCACAACCAAGATATATTTCATCATCCTGATAAAAAACTCATACAATTCTACATTTCAGGTATAGACATTTTATACACCAACACCACTTGTACATTTCTTATTTGTTTTTATAAATTGTGTTTTGTATAGCTCACACTGAATGGTTCATTCTTATTTACTGGTTGTATCTTCAAATCTGCTTTTTATCACTGCTAGGATTTTGGGGAGTGGCAGATAGTAACATCACTTGTTACTTTCAGACAGCTTGACCATGTGTCTTTGAATGTAGTTTAAGGAGTTACCTTCAAAAGCTTTAGCTAAATAAAGGATAATAATTGCAACATATCATTGATGGACATTTCCACCTTCAGGTCATGCTGAAGCAAAAATAGATTTTGTCAAACTTGAACCTTCATGCCTGCAAATAAGCAGGGTGTCAAATGGATGGATCTTCTGTTGATGCCAGTAATATTTTAACTACCTTCACTCCTAGGAAATATTTATTGTTTTAAAAAGCAGTGATTAAAATTGTAATAAAACCTAAACATATGAAAGGAGACAATTTCTCCAAAGCAGTTCACTGCTTGACTAGATAAAGGTCTTTAGAAACCTCTATAGAAAGAAAAGGGGTATGAAAATTGACAGAGAATACCTCAGCCATCTAAGATTTTCAGATGACAATCATTTCTTAGAAACAGTATCAAAGAAATGCAACAAATGTTAGCTTAGAATTTGGCCTTGGCATGAAACTCAAGAAAACCAATGTACAATGAATTCATTGAGGGCAACAACACAATCATCATGATGGACAACAATGAAGTTGAAGGAATACATCTCTACATCTACTTGGTCAATGCATTTTCATGGACAGCTTCAAAAGAACTAGAAATCAGATGCTGCATTATACTGGGAAGGCAAGCACCATCTTCAAAAACAAAGACATTCCAATCATTTTGAAGCATCAAGTCTATGACCAATGCTTACTGCCAACAGTCACCTATGGAGCAGAAAGCTGAAACTTGTCTAAGCAACAATATCTAAATCTCAGAACTGTGCAAAGGGCCTATGAAAGAATCATGAAAATATCATATGGCAAGATCGCAAAACAGTTGAATGTCTTTGTGAAAAAACAGTCAGAGATATTTTAGAAACATTCAACAAACTCAAATGGAAATAGGTAGGTCAACTCATAAGAATAAGTCAAAATCACATGGACAATAAAAATCACATTTTGGATTTCATGTGGTTGGACAAAAAGCAGAAATAAACAGAAAACAAGAGGTGTGATGATCTAAACAGATTTCAACCTTGATGGTCAAAACTAGTACATGAATAGCAAA